AAAAAAAAAAAGAGTGAAACAGTGGCACCCATGGCTCAGTGGGTAGGGTGTCAGCCACATACACTAAGGCTGGCAGGTGGGAACCTAGCCTGGGCCAGCTGTAATCGACAATGACAACTACAACAACAACAACAATAAAAAAAGACAGCTGGGCATTGTAGTAGGCGCCTATAGTCCCACTTACTTGGAAAGCTGAAGCAAGACAATTAAAGAAAGAGTTATAGGTTGCTGTAAGCTGTGATGCCACGGCACTCTACCAAGGGCAACATAGTGAGACTCTGTCTCAAAAACTAAAAAAAATAAAAAAGGGGCGGTGCCTGTTGCTCACTGAGTAGGGTGCTGGGCCCCATATACCAAGGGTGGCGGGTTTGAACCTGGCTCCAGCCAAACTGCAAAAACATAGCCGGGTGTTGTGGCGGGTGCCTATAGTCTCAGCAACTCAGGAGGCTGAGGCAAGAGAATTGCCCAAGTCCAAGAGCTTGGAGGTTGCTGTGAGTTGTGACACCACGGCACTCTACCAAGAGTGATAAAGTGAGACTCTGTCTATTAAAAAAAAAGAGTAACAAACTCAAACAAATTAGATTCTAAATCATATCCAGTGTTTTCCATTTCACTTAGATAAATGTCTTACAGTGGCCTGTAGGGCCACAAACTGATCTTTTTTTCTGTCACTCTCATATCTACCTCAGCCACATTCCTAGCTATGTCCAAGCAGCAAGCAAGGTCCACCTCAGGGTCTCTGCCCTTGCTGTGCCCTCCTGGTGGAGAGCTTCTCCCAGGTATCCCACCTCATGTGCTGGCATGACAGGAGGAGTGAGGCATCTCACTCTAGTGATGAACCATTCATCCCACTTACCCTGAAAGCCCAGGTCCTCCCAGTGGTCTCCGTGGAGGGCACAGTCAAACTTGGAGCCGGTCAGCTTCTTGTAGATGGTCTGGAGGACTCGGCCATGCACTGGGTCTTGGTTATCCAGCCCACCTGCCCCAAAATACATACCCTTTCTGCCAGACTGCCCCTTGTAGAAGGACTGGGTGCTTCTTAAAGAATGTTAGATCTAGACTGTGCTCAAGATACCTTGTTCTCAGCTCCTATTCTGGGACCACTTTTGCCTCCCCTAACATGGAAAATGTAAGACCCCTGGCTTAGCCTCAGCAACAGGGCAGGCAAACAGTGCTTTCTGCCTGCCTTTTGGTGGGGCACATGTACTCACACTGAGCAATGGTTAACACCAGGTCTCTTTCTTCCCGAAGGCCCTGGTGGAGCTTTGGAGGCCCGAAGAGGTAGTGGCGGAGAGCAGCGAGCCCAGTCCTCCGAATAGTTGGCTGGATTCTTTTCTGGGGAGGACAGTGTAGAAAATAGGCACACTGCTAGGGTCACTGGCCTTAATGAACTTACCTTCAGGCTCAGAGTAGGAACAGTACGTGCAGACAGAGGTAGTTCTCCCAGCCACCCGGCTAGTCTCTGGAGCCAGGGAAATACGGCAGAGGCTGGGAAGCACCTGTTGAGTCTCTGGAGACAGGCTCTTACAGCTCCTAGGTTCTTTGCAAGGACAAACAGATGTCCCCAAGCATAGTCTTTCCCAACCAGTCTCCTGTATTTACATTTTTGGGTCTTCCAGAACTAGTTATTCCACTAACTCCCACAGAGGCTACAGATGCCCAGCTGTGGGGACTCCCCCATACAGTCAGATGAATGCCAGGCCAGGTTTCCCAGAAGGCTGCTTCTACCCACAGTATGTCTCTGTTGTGCCTGTACATTTTAAAGGACATAAATGACGACATCTAGCAGCCTTCTCAGCTTCCTGGATTAGAAAGCTCGTGGGGACTCATTAGAGTTAGGTGTCTCTGAGGGGTAGCTGGATTCTGGCCAATACCAGCTCTTCCTAAACTAGGTCATCCTAGCTTCCTGTGGCTCAGTGATACTTCCATGGGCCTTATGACACACTCATTTTGGTACCTTTGGGCTTTCCACATCCTGTAAACCAACCTGATGTTTGCCTTTTCAGCCTCTCTCTTGAGCCCAGTTTTAGTTTGAAGACCTGAAATCATATTCCTCTAAAGCAGTGGTTCTCAACCTATGGGTCGCGACCCCTTTGGGGGTCGAACAACCCTTTCACAGGGGTTGCCAAAATACATCCTGCATATCAGATATTTACATTACAATTCATAACAGTAGCAAAATTACAATTACGAAGTAGCAACGAAAATAATTTTATGGTTGGGGGGTCACCACAACATGAGGAATTATATTAAAGGGTTGCAGCATTAGAAAGATAGAGAACCACTGTTCTAAATGCACTACTCATTGGCCAGGCATGGTGGCTTATGCCTATAATCCCAGGACTCTGGGAGGCTGACATGGGTGGATTGCCCGAGCTCATGGGTTCAAGACCACCCTGAGCAAGAGCGAGACCCTGTCTCTAAAAGTAGCTGAGCATTGCAGTGGGCGCCTGTAGTCCTGGTTACTTGAGAGGCTGAGGCAACAGGATCGCTTGGGCCTAACAGTTTGAGGTTGCTCTGAGCTATGACACCATGGCACTCTACCGAGGGTGACAAAATGACTCTATCTCTAAGTAAATCAATAAATAAATGACTACTCATTACTCAAGATGTTCCAGAAAGCCCCTAGCTTTTATTGTCCCCATCAATCCTTCTTTTTCTAACACTTCATTTTTCTTTTCTTTTTTTTTTTTTTTTTATTGAATGGTAACTGTGTACATTGAGGTACTTTGGGGGTACAGTGTGGTGTTTTCATACATAATCCAAGACACTTCCATCAAACTGGTTAACATAGCCTTCATGTAACTTTCTTAGTTATT